TGATCCTGAAGTCAAATCTGTTTATACTCAGCTTTGCGTCTTAAGTTAGCACCACTTTTTTTCTACTGAGGTCTTCTCTCTGGTTATCGCTGGTAAAACAACCATGGTCCAAAGAGTTTATTCTTTGACCTTGTTGCAGTTTAGACATGTCAGTGGCTACCTGTTGTTGGAGGTCCATGAGTTTAAGTTCTGACAAGGTGTTCTATGTTGAATCTTTCTGAGGTGTTACCAAGGATGATTTTCTGTCTGTATTCTGGGGGTCTGGTTTGTACAAAGGGCTAATTATACTGGGTATGGCTGAGCAAGGTTATGGTTAGTGGTTGCTGTTCTTATGCGCAGATTATCTTGATCGCATGTCTCAGGCCAACTGCAAGATATGTTGAACCTTTGTAGACTTGTATTTGATGCTGGTCTTTTTGATCCTTGGATACTGCATGCTTTTAAGGAGCTGCTGAGGGTCAGGCTAACATGCAGTTGACCTCATGCCAGCAGGCATATGGTCCTGGAGACGAGTGATCTGCACTTGTATGTCTGTTCCTCTTCGTTACTGTTCAACGATACTCCCGCTCCGCCTTGGGTTTTCTCACGTCAGTCTTCTCAGATCTTATAACCCGAGCTTTCTGTTGTCTCTGGGAGCTGCAGGATGCTGTATACTGGGTATTTCCAGAGGGCTAGAAAGAAATGGCGGTGATTTGAGAACCATTCCCTGGTGTCAGCAGTCCTCCTCCTGGAACTTCAAATGCTCTGGCTGACGGAACGAAGCAGGTTTTGCAGCTAGATCATAAACAGCAGTTTTAATCCTAACTCTGAAAGCTATTTTAAAATGAGCCTGTTTGCACAGGACCATGCGCTCACAAGCCAGGTGCTGCATCCCCACTATGGGACACTGTTCTGACCCGGCAGTGATGCTGGCAGGGGTGTCCGGTCCTCTGGTCTCAGTCTTAGAGACTTTAGGCAAGACAAGATAGGATGGTGTGTTATGTTCTGATTTGCTGTGTTGTTCTTCAGCACCTCTAATACTAGTGTTTTCTCTGGGCTCTAAGAAATAGTCCTGGAGGACATGTAATGGTGAAGAAAGGAAAACTGAAATACTTACAGACATATATTTAATTTCTTACAGAGATCCGAGAGAATTTAGTAGAAGTTATCCTGTGAATGCAGTACATATACCAAAATTTGCACGTTAACATCAGGCAATTAGTAAATAGATTAATTTACATGGGAATGGTTTTCTTTTTTGAATATGATACAACGACACACTAACTTTTCTTTGGAAATCTCTGTATTTTGATGCATCAGAAGAACTTAGTGGATTAGAAACCGTTAACATAGCATCCCCTAGCAGGCTTTTAATACAGACATGTTTTTTGGCAGTTCTCAGGCTGGAGCAAGTCAAGGCTAGCTGACATATAAAAAGGAAACGCTATGGAGCTTGTCGTAAAAACAGCGTGAAAGAAACGTAAAGCTATGAGAGTAATAGCTGAAAGCTAACCCAGAACTTTACTCTTGCTCACTTTATTTAAAGGCTGGATGTGCCTTTTTATATCCTTGCGATTACAGAGCAATTCTCAGATTTCATAAGAGCTTGAACGACCTTATTACAACAATTACTGTGTTGCTTCATGTAAAACTCTTTTACTATCGCGTTTGGCAATACAAGCTACAAGTTTATTTTTAAAGCAGATTAGCCACCTGGATAATACATGAGACTCGCTTTTTCTTTTTTAAGACATAGAAAAATGGGTGGAATGAACAAAGCTTACAAACACGAGCACGATTCCTCAGGCATTATAACTTCAGTTTTGCAAGATGGAGGCGCTTTTGTCAATGGAAGCGTCTTGGAAGTGTTTGATACTTCTCCTTTACTTATGTGATTTATTTTTATCACTGCTTTGATGGCTGCCACTAAAGGGGAAAAAGAGAAGAAAGGAGTTAAATAAGAATTAACTTACAAAAAGTTTGTTTCTTCTTTCTCTGTCCCTGTGTTCCTCACCAATGTGTTGATCAGTAACCAGCTGAAGTTATGCGCCTTGGGTGACTGATCCTTTCTATAGGCTTAAGTATATTCTAGTACCATTTGACTTGGCATACAATTGTTAGATCTGTGTGTTTATGTATCTTCATCTGTGTAACATCTTAGGTGCTCTGCTTGGCTTTTCTAGCCCCTATTTATGATGCAAATTGTTCTTCTGATTAATTGAGAGTATTGCTGGATGCCCTAAGAGGGTTAGCAGTAGTCAGAGTCACAGGAGCTTTGATCGTGGTTTGTATTGCTGTGCCTGAAAGTCAGGACATATCTGAAGTTTAGGATCTGTCTTTAGGGCATTCAGGAATGAAATTACTGTCTGTCTGAGGAGGTGCAATCTGATGTGAAATCTGGACGAATGAATGGTGGAAGTATTGGGCAAAAGGTATAATATATTTCTTTTTTCTAAAAAGCCAAGTAAAATAATAAATACAAAGAAATACATGCTAGCCTTTATGTACCCAAGTAAGATTGATTTCTTACAAAACTCGACTGCTTGGCCTTCTGAAAGTAGTGCTTTTGGAGCGAGTAGTGGTGGAACCTGTAACAAGGGCTCAAATAACTGCCGGCAGTTATCATGGCTTCACTTGTCTGAACCAGTTTAAGACTTGGTGCAGTTACCCAGTTTCTATGTTGTGTGTTGCTTTCAGTCTGGAGTGTAGACATGCTGAACAAATGAACTTTTGGATGGGGAAAGAAAAAACCCTTCTGCTGTTTCATGATAGTGATGGACTGTAGTAATTTTGCATCAGATGGAAATGGTGTGTGTGTTTGCTCTCTTGTGCTCCTGAAACGGAGAAAAACAAAGGCTTCTCTTAGCAGCTCCTGAGCCATGAGTATCTTATTAACCATTTCAAATTATGCTGGGAGAAAAATAAGATTTGGAAAAATAGTGAATGTTGCAGTGAAAGTACTGGTAAACTTTCCTGGAATTACATAAAATCCTTGACTGTGCAAAAGCAGTCGGGAGATCCCAGAAGAGCAGCTCTCTGTAGTACGCTGCTGACGCGCTGCCCGTGGCCCTCCCTATCTGTTAGCGACCTCCTCTCGGAGCGGACTCTGTTCTCAGAACGTGTCTCCGCTTCGGTCAGGTATAAAATATCAAATATGAAGTGGGAAGGGTTTCTGGAGAAGACTGCTTTGGCCAGTATTCTTTTCTTGAGCCTCCAAAAAGCAGAGATCTAAACTGTGAGATATGGTAACTGTTAGGATTCTTTCCTCCATCTGGAGGAAGGGATATACAAATCTGTGGAAAAATGCAAAATCTCAAATGTTAGAATTTAGGGGATTTTTTTTTCTGCAAGTGGATAAAGGTGATGTCTTATTCTTGCAGCCAGTTTGTATTTCTCTACTACAGAATATGGTAATTCTGGCTCCCTTTTACCTGCCTCAGCAGCAGCAGCAGCTGAAAAACAGATGATTAAGCCTTGCGCTAAACCTTTGGCACACCCCTTGTTCGAGGTGCGACTCAGCCCATTTTGTGGTTACACCCACCCTTACGGGCCGGCTCTTAGCGCTTACCTGTGCGCTGTGTGCCGGTATGAGTTGGTCTGCAGTGTTAAGAAAGAGCATTTTTGATAAGCAGCGGATATGAGAAAAGAAAAGAAAAAATCCCATAATGAAATAAGTTTGCTGTTCTTTAGAGTTTTCATAAAATTTGTCACAAGTGTGTTGTTCATTTTGTGTTACTGTCTTTCTCTATAAATAACCTTAAGCACTGTGCAGTGTCCTGCTTTTTAATCCAGACCTGGATGCAAGTGTGTGCTGGGAGTCCTGGAGACCTCTGTGTAAGTTCTGCTAGTATGATTCATTGCAAGAGAAGAGTGAGCTGCAAAGTTTCATGCTGAATTCTTGCCCTAGTGTAGCCAAGGGCCAGGAACTCGGATGTCTTTGGGTGCTTGCCTGGCTGTAGACCACAGCTGACTTACAAACTGGCTTTTACCGTTGTTTAACTTGGTCACCGCATTAATTGCTGTGCTGTGTCAGCAGGCTTAATAAAACATTTTCAGGCGGCTCCTTCCACGCTTCTGTAAGTAGCTGCTAAAGTACGGAGTATTTTAATAGCTAAGAGGTTAATATATGCACTTTTGCTAAAGCAGCCAAGTTAATCCTGTTAAATGCTGTATGTGTGGGGGGGCAGTGGAGTTAATTCCTGAATAGCATTTAATCCTGGGAGGCAGGCGCTATTTGAGAAAACATTGATTTATAGAGAAGTTCAGAACCAATTGAAAGCTAATTGAGGATTAGTTCAGTTTCCAGTGGTAAAAGGGTATTACCGCAAGTGTCTAACGTGCCTAGTGGATAAGATATACTGGGTAATAAATTACTAAGTAATACACGCACCGACCGGCGTGGCAGAGGCTGGGGAAGCCTGAAGGCAGATGTCGTTGACACGCAGTAACCTAAAAATGGCTTGGCAGGAACGTGGCTGCATGGAGCAGCCTGCGTGGCTGCTTTAGGCTGCTGCAAAGACTGACAGGTCTGGAAACAGCACCCGCGGGGTGATGCAGAGCCTGTGGCGCGCGTGAGCGAGAGCTCCAGCTCGCGACGCAGCCGGAGAAGGCGCGAGGCCGTCGGCGGGGTAGCTGCCCCCGGGGGCTCCCTCGTGTTCGGATGCGCGGGCCCGTCCCCCGCGCGGCACCCTACCGGGGGGCAACGCGCGCCGTGGGAAGCGGGAGACGCTGGGGGCTGCTGAGGTGCATTTAATGTGTTTGGGGGAAGTTTTCAGGTGCCGGGATCGATAAGTGGTTGGGGCGCGTTAAAGCAGCGGGAGCTCGGGCGGCGGTGGCGAAGCCCCCGGAGGCGGCAGGCTGCGCTTTCCGTGGGACGGCGGGAGCAGCCGAGGCGCGCTGGGGCTCCCGCGAGCGGCGTCGGCTTCAGCGAGACACCGATATCGGCGCATCGGTGCTAAATCAGGCCTTGCAGCGATGGCCTTCTGGCTAGCGAGGCTAAACAGTGAGTGTGAACATGGAAATCCGTCGTGCCACTTTTATTAAGTCATGCTGAACTAGAATCAGCCTTTAATTTTCTACAGCAGAAACAAAACAAATTATTTCTCGACTTCGCTATAAATATGGGAGCAGAAATCCTGGAACTTGGAGCTGCGAAATCAAGAGCCGGTAGCCGACACTCTTGTGTCCAGTTCGGGCGTGGGGTTTGTATGCGTCGTTTTCGTAAGCATCTTTACTTTTCTGCATAATATCTTTTCTACAAATGGTTTGCACAAGAACATGTATATCAAAGGATCCATGCAGACGTTCGTGGCAGCTAGCCACAGCGTGCTTTCCTTGGCCACGAAAAGCTGGTTCTGTAGGCGGCAGCCCATCCTGCCCCTGGTTTGACTTAGAGTGTAAGGGACCCTGCTAAAATGAAATGGGGCAAAGCATAGGAAAAACACGGTAAAAATGATAAATACTTTCCCCTTTATCTTTTTTTTGCTTTTGTTGTCTTTTCTCTGCGTTTTTGTGTAAGACTCGTATACCTTCTTGGCAATAATGATGTAGAAGAGCAGCATGAGGACTAGCACGGTCCAGAAGATGAGCTGGCAGATGTAATTGACAGCTTCGTGCCACTGCAGCCCAAAGGCGCTCTTCAGCGAGGCGCACTTCTTCACGGATTGGGGTGTCGCTTCCTTGTTTGATAGGATCATATTTGGCAGAGAGAGAACAAAGAAGAAGAGCCAAACCAGGCCCGCAAGAATTCTTGCTGAGGTAACATTCTGCACCCAGAACTTCCCAAAAGGTCTCACAATTTTGAGAAACCTGTCAAAAGCAATGAGACCAAGTAGTACGATACTAATGTACATGGTTTCGTAAAATACCACAGCTGAAAAGCGGCAAACGAATGCTTTGAGTTGCCATGGTCCCAGGCCAGAGTCTGTAAGGATCTTCAGAGGAAGCATGAGGGTCATTATCAGATCAGAAACTAATATGTTTTTCAAGTAGACAATGAAAGTTGATGTGCTTGGAATATGGAAGAAAGCCCACAAAGCCAAGCTGTTCAGCGTAAGTCCCAGAAGGAAGACAAACGTATACAGTATTGGGAACACCACGTGGGTAATCCTGGTGTCCCGGTGGCACGGCGTGGAGGAGGGCGTTCCGCTGGAGTTGCTGATGACGCTCTCATTTGCAAATTCTCCCATTGTTTGAAACACACTTGGGGAAAAGGGGAGAGAAAACATAAATCGCAACAGTTTTATATTTAAAATGACATGTTCTTCACTGTGCCTAGCACGTGTATATAAACAAACAAAACCCCCTGTCAGTGTATGTACATTAAATAGATCGACCGCTTTTTCCTTTTGGTTCGTATAAAACCTAACTCTCAGTTTATAGACTGATGCTCTCTAATTAAAAGTTAAAAATTGTATATATTCGTTATTGAGGCCTAAGGTAATATAATAGTAAAGTGCAGCAGCAGAATGCCTAGAGGATAGTTTGTCTTTACATGGAAATGTATTTTAAAATATAATAATCCACTGAATAGAAATGTTATGCTTATGGCCCAAAAGCAACGCGCTTCTGGGGAAGCGACTTCTGGTATTTCTTACCAGGCACACACCATTCTTCATTCGCAGTGCAGATTAAAATAACGCTCCTGATCATCCGCCTCTTTTACGCGTTAGAGCCACACTCCCTGCGTGCCCCGTTATGCCGTATGAGCGCGACGATACTGCAAGTACCTGTACCAGCGTGGCAGCGGTGTCCTTGGTTATCTGCTGTTCATGCGCTGTTCCTCTGCTGACAGAAGCCTTGAGCAAAGTATTAAGAATGGGGAAATGTGTACAAAGATGAGACTTTGTCTGCTGGTGATGTGTTGCTTCCTTCCCCATTTTTCATGTATTGCCTTAGTTAGTTAAACACGTTTACTGTTGCCTTTCTCTCTGCCTTTTGCTGCGTGGCAGGAAGTAAAATACTTTTTCCTTCATTAATGAAGAAAAGAATGACCATAGCCATCAAAATAGGTACATTTTTCTGACTTTTTGTGTGGTACAGACCTGATGGCAATTACACTGTGCCATTAAAATTTGGTTCCTTTAGAGGCATGAGATGATAGAACATAGAGCATTTCCAGAAACTTTTTGAAAATAATCTTCACATTTAGCTGAGTTCTTGTTTATGTATGTAAAAATACCTGTATGTTTCTGGATAGTTATAGTCATGAAGTGATTGATTGGCTTATGATTATGATTTATATGAAAAATCTTTTCTTAGTCTACCCTTAAAATGAAATGAAGCACCACAGACTTAATGAACTACAAAATCATGCGCACTGACATATTCAGAGACCCGATATCTCCCCTCTGTAGGCTGAGTAATGGAAAAACTGCATTTCTTTGTATTTTATGTTTTCACTGGAATGACCAGCTAAGAATTGAAATCTGCTGGGTAATAATTTATATTAGAATAGTCAATGAAGAGGAGAAATTAAAACAATAAAGATCCTTAAACTGTGAAATACATTTTCTTTGTGAGACTGTGTATGTTGACACATGAACCTGAGTTTTTGACCTTGACCTCCAGAATGGGATTTCTTATTTCTTTTGGGGTCAGCGTGACCAGGTGATATGGCATGATGATTACAACAACCACTTTCTGGTTCTGGCAAGGCTGCTTTTGCTGCATGGTACGCTTGGCGTTTGTGGTGTTTATTGTGTTCATTTCTAGGACTAGTAAAATCTGTTCTTTTCATCGCCCTGGCAAATACGATATTGAATGCTTGTGAAAAATTTTAGTCCTGGCAAAAAACTACTAATAATTTATTGATCAAGTATTAAAGAGTTGCTTTATTTTCTACTGAAGCGCAGGACTCGGAACACGTGGAACCTCGCGTACTTCTCGGTGCCTAGACCTTTTATTATAAGTTTAACTGAGTCACGTGATTTGTCTTGTATCTTCCTGTCAACTGATGCGACTTAGGGTTCTGGCTCCTTGCTTTCTGTGATGTGGGAGATGGCTTACCTTCAAGCCCTCTTCGTGGGCAGACGTGGATTGCTCTTCCAGGTTTTCGGACTGTGTCTGTATTGACAATAAGTTTGTGTATAAGCTCCTACGCTTGAGTTAAGGTAGCTGTGCGTGCTGATGTCGGTGTTAAAAGGTTGGCAGAGCGCGTAGAGCCTTGAGGGTGACCAAGGTGAAGGTCGCCCTCACCATCATCAGCATTTGACCTGTAGCTAGGTGCCTGACTGGACTGCAGTTCAGGCGTCTAAGGCTCTGTAAAGCTGGGAGTCTGTTGGGATGCCCCAGGACTAACTTCCAAGGCACCGTCTTCTGCCTTTTTTTCCCTGCTCACCTCTTGACTCTGCTCCCAACTTCAGCCCCAAGGGCTAAGTACCTCTGTTTACTGTATCGGTGATTTCCGTTTAGTGCGCAAGACAGCTGCAGTGTCTGTTGCCTACGTATCTCATTTGATCAGAGGGAGGAACTGCCACATAATTGCCGCTCTCTCCCTGTGTAGGTGCAAAAAAACGTGAGGAATGAGCGTTGGCGTGGCAGTGGGGCACTTCGGGTTTCCTGTCCAGGCATCGGTCGGGACCTCATCGATGCTGGGCACCAGCCAGTCACGGAAAACGCTCTCTGAAGTGGCTGACAGCATCGTTTCCAGGGAAATAATGATTCCCAGTTTTTTGTGGTATAGTTCCACAGTGGCTAACTGTAATCGTTGTCAGCGCGTGTACCAGTATAATCCTGGCAGCTCGTGAGAGATGCCTCAACCCTACTGCTGAGCATGAAAATAGTAAGTGGACTGTGTTTCAACGCTTTAGGATGTTGGATGTCAGTCCAGAAAGTCCTTTGTGCCCTGCTAAGGACAAGATCGCTTTGTCCGAGAGAGGAGCGATCAGGACAGTTGGTAGGTCAGCTTTTGGTAGGACTGAGCTCTTGCAAGGTGGCGAAACAAAGAACTGTAATTTATTACATTAGCCTCGGATCTTTTTCATATGCGGTTATTATAATTGTTCCTGAAAACATGCTCCCATTTTTTCCACCTTTCTAAATGAAAAGGCATAAGTGCTTAAAATTTTTGTATAGTGCAAACAAAGCTGCCCTTAATAATCAGTAAAGATTTAACCTTGAGTCCTTCTTTCAAATTTCCCTAAAAATCTAAGTAGTATTACATAAAATTGAGATTTCATACATTGTCCAGTATAATATATTATTCTCTATGAAAGTGTACTTTTTTGTTTATTTTTCATATGTTAAGGTGAAATATTTGAAGATATAAACCACATCGAGACACAGCTGATTACAAAATAATTTCCTGTGACAGGCAACCATTAATTACTGGCTAATGTATTCAGAATTGCAAGCATGTAATGCAATAAGCAAAATGTTATTCTCTTACCAAAAATCTGAACAGATAAGTAGATTATCTATATGTGCCCTATATTTCTATTTGTATGACAGTTGTATGCAAAGTGACAACTCTCTGTTTTTAAAAATTACATTTACCATACATTTTATTTGCATCTCTCAGATCTTGTTTTGGCATGGGCCAATTTGGTGTGGCCCAAATTCAGTTATTTCTCTGCAAAATTTCTGCAGCTCGTAATCTCATCTCTAGCATGTCATGACCCTGGCTTAATTTTTCCTTACAGCTCTAACCGTAAGTTTTGACTTTTTCCTAATAGTTCTAACAAGCATGTAGGCCGTGATCAGGTGATGCGCTCTTGCTTTATTCAGACTCTTTAATTTCTCCATTGACATTTTGCAATGAATAATATTAGTTCCAATGTGTTTGTATTTCATCTGTAGGACAAGAAAAAAGGAGTTGGTGAAATTTGAGACGCTGACTTTACCAGAAAGACGACTGGTGCTTTTTTTATTCAAATAAGCATAGATGGCCAAATAGCAGTATAGTTAGTTCTCAGCTCTATAACGGCGTCTCCTCTGTGTCATCTCTTTCGTTCTGCTCCATCATCTGCGTTCTGAGTTCTGACGGCGCTGTGTGCTTGCACAGCACGTCTAGCAAGGACTTTCTAAAGGATTTGCAAAGAAAAAAGTATATGAATGGATCTAGACAGGCATTTAGTGATGTCAGCCAGAGCGTGCTCTCTTTCAAGTAAAACAAGGTCTTCCGAGCAGAGCATTCAAAAACATCTCTCGTTTGACTCAAAGTGTAGGGGATCCTAGTGAAATGGAAAGGCACAAAACAAATGAAGAACACTGCAATAATGATAAAAACCTTCAGATTTACAGTCTTTTTGGATGCTGCTTTTCCTGTGCGTTTTGTCCTCTTATAGGATTTGTAAAGCTCTTTAGTTATGAGTATGTAACATACAACTATGACTGCTAAATTAAGCCAGAAGATCAATTGACAAATATAGTTTACAACTTCATGCCAGACTAAGCCAAACTCAGATTTCAAGAGAGCGCACTTCTTTACGTTCTTAGGTGTTTTCTTCTTGTTTGTTAGAATCATGTTGGGTAATGAAAGAGTAAACATTGATATCCAAATTGCTGTGGACAGGATCTTGGCACCTAAAAGGCTCCTTGTGGTTGCTGTTCTGAATGGCGAAGTGGCTTTCTGATAGCGATCAATAGTTATTAGACCGAGAAACAAAATGCTAATGTACATGGTGAAGTAAAACACAACCTGGGTGACCTGGCATACAAATCCTCTCAGTACCCATGGCACCAGCTTTGCATCACTAAGGATTTTAAATGGAAAAGTTAGGATCATGAGGATGTCAGAAATTACTGTGTTCTTGAGGAAGATGATGAAATTGGATTTACTGGATATTTTAAAAAAGATCCATGTTGCCAGGCCGTTCATGGTGATACCCACCAGAAAGAGAATCGTATAGAGCAAAGGAAAAATGACTTGACTGATTTTGTTATCACTGGTACAGTTGCTGTCGTTTCTAAAGTAGCTGAAGTTGTTTGCGGCTTTCATTTGCACTTCGTCTTTTCCCCCCTCCTTGTGAAAACAAAAAAGAAAAAGAAATTAAATTGGGAGTCATAGCTGTCGTTAAGACTTTGACCTTTTTAGTCTGTTTTTAATTTTTTCAGGGACGCTTAGGGTGGGGTTTTGGCTGCTGCGCCCAGAGGAGGTGCGGGCGAAGCGAAGGGAGCCGTCGCCTTCTCCGGGGGGCTGCCCCTCCGCGCTGTCCTTGCCGCCCCGGCCCTTGGTGCCGTTACTCACGACACATGGGGGCAGGATGGGGCTATGGTTTCATAATTGTCTGCACACGTGTCTTCCCAAACGGCTATTTTTTCCTCTGAAGTAGGAGAGAGAAAAGTCCTGTTCTGCGTCCTTCCTAAAGCGGAGAAGGGGTAGCGCGCGCACCGCTTTGGCCTGCGGCTGTAGCAGCGGCGGAGCGCTCCTTTTTATTTCCTTTCTGCTTCGCTGATCATCTTTCTCAGCGGCGTAATTTCAGCCTGACTTTCTAGTCATTCCCGAAGCTGTTCGGTCTTTCTCGCCGTGCCCTGCCTGCTCAGGAACGGCTCCCATCTGCCCCTGCTCC